AATTGTTACTGAGTGCCAGAGAATTGTTACTCAGGGACAGACAGAATTTTACTGAGTGCCAGAGAATTGTTACTCAGGGACAGACAGAATTGTTACTGAGTGCCAGAGAATTGTTACTCAGGGACAGAGAGAATTGTTACTGAGTGCCAGAGAATTGTTACTCAGACAGACAAATTTGTTACTTGCACAGACAACAGAATTGTTACTCGCACAGACACAGAATTGTTACTCAGTGCCACAGAATTGTTACTCAGGGACAGACAGAATTGTTACTGAGTGCCAGAGAATTGTTACTCAGGGACAGACAGAATTGTTACTGAGTGCCAGAGAATTGTTACTCAGGGACAGACAGAATTGTTACTGAGTGCCAGAGAATTGTTACTCGCACAGACACAAAATTGTTACTTGCACAGACACAGAATTGTTACTCGCACAGACACAGAATTGTTACTCAGGGCCACAGAAATTGTTACTCAGGGACAGACAGAATTGTTACTGAGTGCCAGAGAATTGTTACTCAGGGACAGACAGAATTGTTACTGAGTGCCAGAGAATTGTTACTCGCACACAGACACAGAATTGTTACTTGCACAGACACAGTTGCCACAGACACAGAATTGTTACTCAGGGACAGGGACAGACAGAATTGTTACTGAGTGCCAGAGAATTGTTACTCAGGGACAGACAGAATTGTTACTGAGTGCCAGAGAATTGTTACTCAGGGACAGACACAAATTGTTACTGAGTGCCAGAGAATTGTTACTCGCACACAAAATTGTTACTTGCACAGACACAGAAATTGTTACTCGCGCACAGACACAGAATTGTTACTCGCACAGACACAGAATTGTTACTCAGGGCCACAGAATTCATACTCAGGGGACAGACAGAATTGTTACTGAGTGCCAGAGAATTGTTACTCAGGGACACCTAATCGTTGAATTAAATAGTATGTCAGACAACATGCAGAGGAGTGGCAGAGGAGGCAATGTTTTAGGAGCGAGCAGACGTGGCAGCAGAGGAAGGGGTCGAGGCAGCAGTATTCGCAGCCAGAGGCCAGTGCTCCGGTGTCATCCAGCGGTCGTGTCTCCACCGACAACCCTGCCGTCATTGATTGGTTGGCTCGGTCGTCTTCCTCTTCCCAGGTCACCTCTGACACCTACAGCCAACGGTCGGTGGGGTACGTCAGACACAACCGTTAGTTGGCATGGCCCGGGACCAAGCCCACTGAAATCACGTGTCCTCTACCTGCCCCTGTCCTTTGCTGTTCCCTCACCAAGCGAAGTATCGCATGCTGTGGGCTCAGCCCCACTGTACAGTGAGGAAGAGCTAACAGAGGGCGGTCAGGAACGGGGGGAGACATCGGCCTTTTCAGCAGCCAAGCGAACAAGTACTGGCGAGGAGAGTGGCTCGGTAGCCGGTCTAGAGACAGGTCTGTCTCCTGACCCAGACGCAGCCGAGGGGGCTAGTAGTGAGGCGGAGACCCTACTTGATGATGAGGAGGTTGATCGCACTTGGCAGCCTCGTCGTCATCAGGCAATTTCTTCCGCATCATCAGGAGAAGAGGGTGGCAGCTTGGCAGCGAGCAAAACAGTCGGTGGGTTGCCCAGGAGAAGCAGCAGGGTCGCATCAGTGTCAGTGGAGCCAAACGTCCACGGAGTAGAGCACCAGCTCCACTGCAGCCTACCACCACGGCCAGTAGTGGTGCCGGTGCGCACGGAGGAAGTAGCAGTCAGCCAGTGAAGAGTAGCGGGGGCAAAGTTTCCTACTCGGTGGTGTGGCAATTTTTCCTCAAGCCGCCCGAGGAAGTAAACGTAGCCGTATGTCGACTATGTGGCCAGAAATGCAAGCGTGGCCAGGGGGCCCATGTTGGGACTACAGCGTTGCGTCAGCATATGCAGCGTCACCATTCGGTGGCCTGGGAAAACCGTGATAAACATACGGCGGTTCTGCCTGCCCCAGCCCCCGCTCCATCACCCGCTCCGTTACTTGCTCCGTCACCCGACGTCGTCAATCGCCCTCTATCAGCCAGTCAAGGCTCCAACACACCTCTGCTGAGGGGAGTTGTCGCTCATTGGCATCTTCCGCTCGTTCAGATGCTCCTTCTCCTGCTACTCCTCTTCTTCGGATTCCGTCAACAGTCTTTCTTGGAATCCGTATCCAAGAGACAACAGTTTGCGAGCACGCACCCGACGGTGCAAAAGCTGAACGTCCTCCTGTCCAAGTTGCTGGTGCTGCAGTCCCTCCCTTTCCAACTGGTGGACTCAGCACCTTTCCGAGAAATGATGGCTTGTGCCGCGCCGCGGTGGAGAGTGCCAAGCCGTCATTTCTTTGCCCAAAAGGCAGTGCCAGCCCTGCATTCACATGTAGAAGAGATGGTGGGCCAGTCTTTGAGCATGTCGGTCTCTGCCAAAGTGCACGGCAGCGCCGACGTGTGGAGCTGTAACTACGGTCAGGGACAGTACATGTCATTTACGGCCCACTGGGTGAACGTGGTGCC